AATAACAATTTTTTTTTCTATAATTAGGATTTTGGATTGCAAAATCACATCCCTCCCTTCACAGATTCTTGGACCTTTGGTTAGGATTAGAAAGGGGCCTTAATTCATAAAGGGAGGGTGAGGGAGGGGTGTCTGTGGAGATTTGGGAAGGGGAAGGGGAGGAGAGGAAATAGTTCTGTGTTCAGCCCCCACACCCCTTACCCCCATGCAGCCCAGCCCTGGATGTGAGCTGCACACTGGGGATTTGGGTTCAGTTTCTCTATTCTAAATATTCTGATCACCAACCTTGAGCGTTTCCAAGCTAAGATTCCAAAGAGCTGCTTTTCCTGCGGTTGGTTCTTTCGGTTGGGGAATAGGAGAGGTCAGGAAACCATATAGAGCTGGGCAGGAAGGAATGAAAACCATTCTCCTAGGAGACTCCCCAGCAAGGATGCTTGTGGAGGGGACCCTGGGCTGAAGAATCGGGTCAGTGGTACAGATTCCCTTTTGGCACCACAAACTTCCTCTGGTTCTATGTGGCCTCATCCACTTCTGGAGGCCTGTACCAACGGGTTTCTGGCCTTTTTTTGGGGGGGGGGGTTATCCCGAAGGAAAGCCAGCTGGCCTGAGATCCCAGCATAATAGGCAATCCCAAAGGAGGCCCAGAGGAGCAGAGAGCAGGGAGATGCTGCTGTGCAGGGATGGAAGTATTACTAAGAGAAGCCCAGCTTGGCTTATGACCCCCATTTGCCAGGGGTCACCTCTAGGTGGTTCCCAGGGCCCCTGCATCCAACCAGGAAGGATCTGTTCATAGGGTGACTGACAATCCCCCGGCCAACCCTGAGATCCCAAGATTCCTAAAAACAATAGTGATGTCCTTAGCTCCCAGGCTTCGGCCCCTTACTGCCTGAACCCTGTTCCACGCCAGTGTTCTCTCTATACTTTTTGGAACCTCTTCTTTCCAAGCCTGGTCACCCAGGGCCAGCAGAGAGACTCAGAAGGCAGTCACTTAAGCTGAGGCCTTGGACCCATTAAGTCATTCCTGCCCCAGGTTCAGTGTAGACAAAGGCCAGGATGGGAAGAAAGGCCTGGGAGCTGCCCTGGGAGAAGAGTGGGCACATGACCTAGAATGTTTTATGCAGGCTGGAGCTTCTAGTGCCAAGGAAGGGTCTTGAAGCCCAGCCCAGAATGAAGGAGATGAAGGCAGGGAGGATGCTGAGGTGCCCTCCTTCCCCCAGTTTCCATTCCACCTATCCCTCCAAACCCTCCCCCCCCCTCCACTCACCAGCTTCCCTATATACTTGCTCCGCTGGGACCATTCGCCCCAGGCATCACTGCCCCAGGCCCTAGTGACTGGGAGGAGCGGGGCCAGGTGTGCTCCTCACCCTGGGGGTTCCTTTGAGGGCTCCCAGGTGCGGAAGGACAGGAGGCAGGACCTTGGGGGTGGGTCCCAGCAGCCGCCCGAGGTCAGGGGGTTGTCCCTGAGGGCCAGACGGCAGCCCCAGCACCGCCACTGCGCCAGAGGGGGCGGGCGCAAAGCTGCGCCTTCCGCAGATGCCCAAACACCGCCCAGCGCCCCGGCGCGTTGACAATGGCAAACCGCGCGCGCTCAAGACCCCGCACCCTCGGCACCCGCGCCCCCAGCAGCGGACTCGGATTTGTATCGGAATTTGGTTTAAATTTTCCAAGAGGACTGCCCTGCCCTGGGGTAGCTCCAAGGGACATCCAAACTAGCCGCTCTGCTGTGCGCCCAGGTGGGCGCATGGAGGGAGGGAGCGGGATTCAGCCCTGGAAAGCTCTGCCCTCCACCTTGGGACCCCCCTACCCTAGAAACCTTCTGCAAATAAGATCGTGGCTCCAGATAACTGGGTTTTTACACTATTAATTTTCCGACCCATTTTCCAGAGCTATCTGGTTAGAGTCTGGGTAAGGGGGAAAAATAGAAGGAAATCCAGAGAGCCTGTTTTAAAACCTTTATAGAAATCTCCCTAGGGCTGGGTGTGTTTTGTGTGTGTGTCTGTGTTTTTTTTTCCTGTGGTAGTTTGATGCTCATTATAAAGGAAAGCAGGTCAAGCAAACTCTATCTGAGTTTTGGCAACAGCTCCAGCAGGAGGGTCTTGCTTGCATCCCAGACTTGAACACAGTTGCAGTCAGATCTCAGCCTCTCAGGAACTGCCTGAAGGGCACAAACTTTAAAATGACTAATTCAGAAAGGAGCCCTTCCCCAAGGGGCTTTTGCTTATGGGGACCTTGAGGTTTTTGATCAGCCAGTATTAGTATGGAGGAGACCAGCACGTCTCCTTGTGCCTTCCTAAGTAGATTCCCAGTTTCTTTTCCTTTCTCTCAGGGAAGGGTTCGTTCAGGTTCAGATAAACATGTTAAAACTAAACGTTAATGATCTCAGCATCGGAGACACTTTTATACTGTCAGATTATACTAAACTCCTTGTTGATGGAATGGGGGGAAACCCCCCGGTAATCACACTAAGATTAAATCTGTAAAAAATGTTTGACGCTTTCCAGATTCAGGCAGTGACTCCAGCATATTATTTCATGTGCCATTTATCTGTCTATCTATCTTCTGTCGACCTATCATTTATCTATCTATCTCCAGAACCCTTGAAAGTAACATTGTAGAAGGGGAAGCTATTAAAAGATAAATCTGCAGTTCCCACATTATGAAATAAAAATAATCACACAACTGAGTGGATCAGCCTACTGTATGTTTTGGTGGCAGGAGCAGAGCAGAGCCTGAAATGTCAGTCTTAGCACGATCTTCCCATAAAACCTGCGCCCCGCCCGTGAGCACTCCGGGCGGCCCGGGGACCCACGCTGACGGTCAGTCTGTAGCGAGTTGTTAGGGGCCACTGTCCCTTTTATTTCCCTGCGCTGTAAGTTAACGAGACCTTTTAAAATCTTCCTTGGAATATCACTGCACATTCCTATGCTATTAAAAAATATTATATAATCATTAGGTAAATAGATCCAACTGCTGGAGGCTCTGTGCTGGTAGACGCCTGGCTTGGGCTAAACCGTAATGGTCCAGCCCGAAAATCTCTCTCACTGCCATGTGAGACCCCTTTGCCCCCACCTCTCTTCCCCCGTGACTAGCCCCGGGGAAGGCGATGAGAACAGAGAAACCACAATGTCTTTTGGACTCTATTCAGGTGTGCAAACAGAATCTCTCCCCCCCCCCTTTTTGAAAGAAAATGCCTTGATAACAGGATGGGGTCCCCAGGTAGCCAGAGAGTAGAGGTCATCTTGAGGAAGATGACACCAATGATCTAAAAAGGACATCTACTTTATGAGATTTCAGGCCCAATGCCAAAGATCACATTTAATGAGGCCTGATTCTTTTTCTCCAAAAATAACAGAGACGATCAGTGAGATGGTCAGGAAGGCAAAGGGGCATTTTGCAAAGGCTGTGTTCAATTATTGCTTTGTAATATTTTCTAAAATTGAAAAATGCCTCATAAGTATATGATCTCATGTAAATATTCCTTGCAGAAGCTTAACATATGTTTGCAATGCCCCAAAGGAATTACAAAAATATTCTCTCCGCAAGCTCTTAAGCTTTTAAACTCTATTCACTTGCATTTCTAAAAGAATCTTGTTTCTAAAGATTTTTGTAAAAAAAAGTAACCTTATATAGGATTTTTTTTTTTTTTAGATTAGCCATTTAAACTCCAATGTAGAATAACTGATATTAATGATATAACCCTTCGAGGTTTTATAACTTCAGCATGTTTCTTATTTCTTTTTCTTTTTGGCATAGAAATAATATATGTGGCAAAAGATTAATGTATCCTGTTACATGAAGAAGAGTGGTTTGTACTGTAAGGTTTTAAAAGCATTTTTAACATGAAATGTGAATGAAGGCTTGTATTTGGGGCTGCTCTGACAGATCCAAGGGTGCAAATGTGTTTATCTGTTCTGATGCATACCCAGAGCATTGAGATAAAGGGCATTTGAAATAGCTAGAGTAATGCTAAGTGAAAATTTAAGTAAAGAACAATTCTATGTCCGGTTGCACATCCGACAGATTTTAGCAGGTGTATGAGTGTAGTGCTTCTGTTCACACCGATTGTAGGGGTAGGTAATCCAAATAAAAGTGGGGGATTAAAGACAAATACTGAATATCCATGTTGGAAAAATATATCAGACCGACATACTAGTTTATCGCAATTCCTGTACACAGATTTTCCTGTAACCATGTTGAATTTTTAAAATTAGATTTTGAATATATTTTGACAGTCTGAACTTGTACAGTGTGACTAACTGTAGGGAGAAATGACAGGTCTGCTTTGTTATTAAACTGCTGTCTGGAAAATATTGGACTCCGTACAGTAAATGATAATTATTTTGCCACTTACATTAGTACAGCTAATAGCAATAAGGGTTTTTTGAACCATAGAAAGCTAACTACTTTGAATTACTGTGCTTTGTTACTCACTGTGAGGCAAAAAGCCTTTTTTTTTTTTTTTTTTTTAAAGCAACCTCATTTTCATATTACTGTTCTAAGCATTCCCTGCTACTAATTTAAACAGAGAGGAAGTTAATAAATAAAAGGGTGGTACCTAAATGGTTCTATTTGTTAAGAGAGCATTTGCAATTAAGGTCAGCGGCACTAGCAGAGTAGACCAGGGCAGGGAAGGAGGAGCGGGGACGTGGGAGGGGACATGCCCGAGGGAAGCATCAGGGAAAGTGGGAGCACTTTGGTTCTCTGAGGGATGGGCAGTCTGTGAGCACTTGAGGGGGGCCCATCAGACACCATTCACACCCTCCCCCACTGGGAGCCCCGAATCACTTAGTCCTCTGAACTGAGGACAGCTTCAAAACGGATCCCGGCGGCCAGGCCAGTGGGTGTCACCATCTCGGCCTCCCTGGGGTGAGAGCCCTGGTCAGAGGAGGTGACCTTGCATGCCACGCCATTCCCTTCCATAGAACCCCCCCTTGGCAGGGCCCGGGCCAGGATGCCAAAGCAAGCGGGGCTGGATCACTCCCCTCTGGTCTCATTCTGCCCTTTCCATAGAGAGGGAGGCTGACTTGAACATAGCGTCCTTGAAACCGTCTGCGTACTTATTAATTACCCTTTGTTTATTTTAATATATTTACTAAATCAGGTACCCAAGGGAATCCTCTACATCAGTGATGTGAGAAATCCTGTTGCCTGAAGTCAAAGAGGTACATCTTGATTTCTGATTTGCATGTGCTTGTCTTAGTGAGTTTTCCACGGAGGGGGAAGGCAAGCGAGCAAGGAATGCTGATCATTCTGCGGGTGTGGAAAGCTCCCTTGTTAGTAGTTTCAGTATTTGGGTTTCACAAGTAGCAGAAACGGTGACATGAGGTGAGGGGAAGTGATGCAATATGTGTGACCAGCATGCTCGTATTTCTGTATTTATTTCATTTCAAAGCTGCGGTGTGCAGAGTAATGAATCCAGTTGGAGTAAATCTCAGATCTTTGGTCTTAACCAGCGCCTGTCTACTGATACTCAAAGGGCTAGCTAGCCCCTCTACCCGAATGTCAGAAAGCCTGGGTGAATCTGTACGGCTCACACCCACACCTGAGCCTGTGAACCTTCCACATCTCCAGTCTCCTAATTCACTCCATATGAACATTTGGAAAATTTAGTGTAATTTCAAAGCATGGCATGTCCCCCCTGGTGCATCCGAATGTGACTTTGGAGATACTCTCTACTCCAACTGTAGGCGGACAGAGAGGGGAGGGGATAGGCGGGAGGCAGAAATCTGATTTTCATCTACTAAAAAAATGAAATTAAGCTTTTTAAATGGGTTGTCAATGCCAAGTCTCCCAGTGTGAATGTAATTATGAATCCTCTTTGTTCAGAGAACTAGACCAGCCCTCTTACACCAATAATTATTGAGTGTCATCCTGTTACGTATACTTGTTACCTCTTACTGGCCAACGGAAAGTAGTTTGCTTTTTGTATTAAAAATGTTGCTTGCTGAGATTTTTGCATGACGTACAAAGTTTTTGTTTTCTAGAGAAACTGAGGAGAAGGCAAGCGTCACACTGTTAAATTGCAACCCTTGGCAAAGGAGGCATTTTCAGGACCCAGTGAATTTAGACTGTCTCGGAAAACGAAACCCCATTTTTCCCCCCACTATTCAAAAATCATATCTGATTACTCACTTCTCCGCACGCCTATTATGAGAGTCTTTGAATTACTGGATTGTGAATATGTAACATGATTTCTTTCCGAGCCTCAGACAAAATTAACATGCTCTTTAACAGTTCCCATAGGTAGATTTTAACCCGGTGTATGCCTTCGGGATTAATTTGTGTGTCCATGTGCCTGCATGCAGTACCAATACTTAATTCATTTCTTTTGTGTTCCTTCCTTTTATCTTTGTCTTTATCATTGAAATTCGAAAGCCATCTATTAAATATGATGATCTATGTCCACCAGCCCGTTTTGTTACATCCATTTTGAGCAAAGAATTAATGAACTTTTAAGGCAAGGTTCACACTAGCCCTGACCTCCCTGGTAATATTTCATATAAGGTTACTGGTGGGAGAGAAATCAAATTTCAGCTGTGAACATGATTGACAGGTGAGAGCAAGTAAGAGAAAGGCATTTGGCCAGATGGGGAATTTGGGGAAGGAGTATGACAATTCCTCAAAGTTACTCTGGGATATTAGATATTATGAGCTGATATATGGAAAGTTCCAATACTCGATACTCTTGGGAGAGTTACTTAGTTTATTTTTCAGAAAGTCACTTTGGTTAAGGGGTTTCAGTAGTGGAAGTCAAAAATGGGAAACTGCTAGCTCCCTGCTATCAGGGTAATTTCAGCTCCGTATAGCTTCATGGCTTATTTCTGGCAATTTTCTAAGCTAGAATATGAAAATTAAATCACAAGCCTTTTGAGAAGCCATTTAATTACCTTTCATTTAATCTCAAAAACACAGTCTAGGTTATATTGTGGTTCTTGAACATGTTATAAAATTTTTATCTTAAGCGGTATCACACAAAAATTAGATTCTGCATTCTGTAGCACCCCTTGATCCTGACTAATATTTTCCATTAGCTTAACCTATGTAAATCGATCAAAATGCATAATTTATACTGAAGAAAGATCTAACATGGAGATCAACAGATATTCGATGTAAATTTTTCCGTGGTAGCATCTCTGGGTAAGGTGTGATGTTAGCATTGTTGCTACAGGAACAAACCATGATATTGCTTGGCCCTAAGACCGAGGGTGGTTTTGGAATTTATCTTAAAGGCTGTCTCTCAGCTTGAAGTATCAGAAGGAGATAACATAGCTACCCATGGTTTGCACCAAGGCTGAATGGAGGCCTTCAAAACCCGTTCTTTCATCTTGGGTGCTGAAACACTAATTCAGAAGGTGGTGATATCAGGACCTTAGCCTGCTCATGTCCAGGCTCTGCCCATTTCAGATGGTCCTGACACTGGCTAAGACCCATCCGGATGCAACCAAGCCTTACAGAGCTGCTTCGGGCAGGGCAGGTGGGATATAGGCACAGGGGAGAGGCCTGTTTGTAGCTTTCCCATCACCTATGGGAGAAGCTGATGGAACTATATTGTATAAACAGCACTTCCTGGGCTCTGAGTACCCATCAATTTTTCTCTCTCTAGTCTTATAGCCAGCAGAGTGGACAAGTTTCTTCCTGATTGTATCTATCCCAATATGAATTCAAACAAATATAAGGAAGGCTTTCTTGTTTTATGAACTGGGATAAAAACAAAAAAATTCCCCATTCCCCCAAACAGTAAAAATACTCAGAAATCTTGTTTCTATTTTGTAGAACTTGCCTTCCCATGTTGCCCTTTAATCACCCAGAGATAAACGCAAGCATGGTTTCCTGATGCCCAGTGTCAATGTGGATGCCTGAGCCCAGCTATTTAATTCAGATGTAACATTAAAGATGTCATAACCTTGTTTCCCTTGCAGAGCCCATCAAAATATTTTAACAGAAATGGTGAATCAGGTGTTCTCATGCAAAGGACATGTGAAAACACAGACTGTAAGTTTGGATTTCTGGCACCTCTGTTTGAAAAGCTCGGGTGAAAGCAGTGGCCAGTCTTGACTCTGTCTTCACTACAGGCCCCTGGGGTCTCTAAAGACACAGTCTTTAGAGGGAGTCCCCTCCTGTGAGACAGCAAACTGTACGGTGCGCAGATTTGGAGAGAGGACCAATCGATCCATCACAACTTCATGAGTGTGTCTTAGGCAAATGACATCAGTGTATTTGTTGGCACTGAGAAAATAGGAGGAAATAATTCTGTTTAAAGTGTCTTATTACTGGGACTTACTTAATTGTTTGCTGTTGTTGTTTGTTTAGATGATGCTCCCCCTAACCACCACCACCACACCCCCTTTTCGTGCCAGGCTGTTTTTCTTTCTGTGGGCACCGGCCCACTACTGAGCTGATTTAATCTATTAATTACAGCAGAGCAGGTACAGAGTAACTAGCCTAATGAGGCCATATGCACTCATATTATTTTTAGTCATCTCTAGGATCCTACTGAGGGGACAACTTGAAGAAAGAAAGACACATTATGTGTGTAGGGGGGGAAAAGAAGAAGGAACTTTTGCCAAAGTACAGCACTCATTACTTAAAACTAAATGATGCTTCTGTAAAGAGCTTTTGTTTTAAAAGCACACATCCAGTTACCTGCCAAAATCTCAGATTTACTGCTCCCGTTCGCAGATGCCAATGTTGAACTCCTTTCACCTGCCACTTGCTGAGTCTTTCATTTCCTCAATCCAAAAATTACCGTAGAGTTGTTGTTTAGTGTCTACGTTTTTTGGCTTTTCCTGGCACCTAATGAAATTATCAGCAATAAATGAGCTAAGCAGAAGGGCTGGTTTCCTTTTTTTTTAACAATATTTGGAAAACACTGGGACAAGGCTAAGCCAGTGGGAAAATTCGGTACTTCACTCTTTCCAGCACCTACAGGAAATATAATAAAGCTATTAGCACATAAAATTTCAGATGGGAAGTAATACCCGTTGTGGGGGAGGGGGAAGCAGTTTCAGGTGCTGAGTGGGAAAATCAAACTAGTTATGGGAATTACAGGTATTGTCACCCGAGACAACACAGCCACATAGGAGTGACCTTGGGTATAAGCCCCTGGGAGATTTTAACACCTAATTAACCATCGGGGTGCATCCGACTACTTAATCACAGGTGAGGTGAGAATGACAGAAGAGAGGAAGGCACAATGCTGGTTGCTGGTTTGGTTTCTGTTTGCCTTTCCCTCAATAGCATCATCTGACAGTTCTTACACGCAGCTAGTGAGGATTTCTTTTTAGTCACTTGGGTCTATTGAAAAGCACAGCAAGTTCTTTGCCAGCAGGTAGGCAGTGGAGGGCAGAATTACATTGATCTGAAGTTGACATGCAGGTCAGCCCCCTTTAAATTGGGTTCTCCAGACAAAGTTTATTTTCTTCTCCCCTGGCTCCTGCCGGCAGCGGGGTTTGGGGCTGGGGTTTGTAATTATTTAACGGGGTTCTGATACCAGAGTTGATTCCTCCCCCAAAGTCAATCAAAGTAGACCTCTTTTGTTACCGACGGCAGTTCATTAAAGGGCTTGACTCTATATAGCTGTGGTGCGCCTCCCGCTTGTTTATGTTTCTTTAAAAATATGTTTTTACTGATTTTAGAGAGAGGGGGATAGAGAGAGAGAGAAACATCGATGTGAAAGAAACATCAATCTGATGGGGAATCGAACTGGGGACCTCTACAGTTCATGGGTCGATGCTCAACCACTGAGCCACACCAGCTGGCTGCTTTTTTATCTTTTAAAATGAGATTCGTTCCTGACGTACGGGAGGTGGGAGGAAAGCAGACACGGGGCCTCTTACTGGGCTGAAAAAATTGAATAGGAGAATAGAAGATCCCGTTTACTTTCTGGACTTGCCTTCATTTTCCTGGTCTCTTCAGTGGCGTGATTAGAGTCCTTTCAAAACACCTTCAGGCGCACGCGGGGGGCTGCCGAGTTGGGAACCAGGCGTTGCGCTTGGGAAGGCCGGCGCTCCTCTGGGCAGCGAGGGCGGCAGGAGAGAGCAGAGGCTCCCCTACTCAGGCCACTTGCCCTCTCTGGTCCAGGCTCAGAGCTGCTTTCCCCCCCTTGGCTCCCGTGGGCAGCGCATGTCCTGGGGTTCAGAGGCCGTTTCCTTGGCATTGGGTCTCCCCAGGCTCCTTATGTTCCCTTTCTCTTCTCTTGCCTCCTCTTAAAGCCGGGAAGCACTCTCTCCATGGCGCAGGGCACAGGTGTGTTTGGAGGTCGGACCCGGGGTTCCCCCTCGCAGGGAAGGACACGGTGTGTCATGAGGACGGACTCTCCGCAAGTCTCGGGGTGCTGTGCCGCCACAGCCCAGGCCTGAGGGCTCCCAGCTGCCCTCCTCCAGGCAGCCTCCGAGAGTCACCGGGCAATGGAAGCCCCTGGGCATCTTGCTCTTTCCCTGGACTCATCCCCTTCCCACAGGCTCCGTTAGCAGTTTGGGGAGCCTCGTTATTTAGACTGTTACCCCCGTTTGCTCTGATCTTTGCTTGCTTAGTAGCATCCTGACCAGAGCCGAGGAAAAAGGACAGAAAGATCAGGGGTCGCAAACAGCAGAAATGGCCTGACGTGCTGCTGCTAAACCTGCCCATAGGCTTGCAGGCACCTCACGCGCCCCGCTCCGGGCTGAGCCGCTGGGCTGTGAGTTGCAGAGCTGGCCCCTGACCCGGGAAGTGAAGCGCGGAATCCGCCGTCCTTCCTGCCCGAGCGCCGAGAGCCGCGGGCTGCACTGGTCAGGCCGGAGCCCGGAGCTCTCACGGTGGCGCGGTGAGAGCGGCCAGTCCAGAGAGGAAAGCAAAAGTAAGGAAGCCTTTTTTTTTAAATGTTTTTTCTCCTGTTTTATTTGAGCTGGCTGATCTTGGTGATGAAAAGCTTTCCGTCCCCGTTTTGGGGGGAACTGTCGACTTTTAAGGCATTGGGTGGCATGTGGGCCCGGGTCGGGTCGGCGCGGGGGTGCAGTTCCTGCGAGGGGTTTTGTCTGCCTTTACCCAGCCCTTTACAGTGTCCTTCGGAGTCCCCACCCTCACCAGCATCATTGCCCTTTGCAATACAAAGGGCACCTGTCTGAGTTTGCCACGGTTCACTGGTCAAATTTTCACTCCAGGAAGGAGGCCGGAGTGTGGGATTTCATTGTAAATTTGTCAGGAGTTATTTCCAGAGCTCTTGAGGGTGCAGTTATTCTGAGAATGCATCTTTTTACTATTTCTTTATAATTTAATTGGGATCAGGCCACTGTGTGGTTTCAAC